TATATATATATATATATATATATATATATATATATATATATATATATATATATATATCTGTTTTATATTAGGTTACTGTTTGTGGTGATCTGAACAATTTTGCGAGTAACGTGGAGCGAGTTCTCAGTAACTCGCCTGGAGTAAATACTTACTGCGTTTGGTAATTACCGTCGGCCCGTCCAGAGATGTCCAGTGCAGTTCGCTGCACCTGAAATATAAAAAGAACCAGTAATAATATTTCTTTAGATATCTAAATAAAGAACATGAGACGGAAGTCACTAAATTAAAATTATGATTATTAATTTATTTATTTACATAGATTGCAAAATTGTTTAGATCAAAGGCATTCATAAGGAACGCTAAATAGCTGTCTTTTAGTTTAATTAAGCGAGTTAAATCAATATTGCTAAGTTTCCTAGATTAAATACTAGGGATATTCCCTAGGATGAACGGACTTCGTTCCAGCTTGCTTAATTGATAAGGACATTGTTTATGAAGGCATAAACAGGCACGCGCGAGTGTTAGCAGATCGCAGAATGCGTATTTTGATTTATAAATGTTGGCGTACGCGGGAGAAATGTATGAGCGCGTGCTAAATCAAACGTTATTATTATGTGCGAAAAAGTATATTTATATGTTTATACTTTTATATATTGTTATTGGGCGAAGCACACGAGTATTGTTTTATGCTTGTGAGGCGCAAATTAGCGCCAATTAATGTTTAATTGATGTATTTAAGTTGAAGAAGGGATCTAGGGACATTGTCGTTGTCGTTGGACCCGCTATGGATAACGGGCCTTGTCCTGATTGGCCAACTAACTTGAGATGGCTTCGCACCGCGTGTCGCGCTGTGACTCGCGAGGCGAAGTCCCTCATCCGGATTTTTATTCCGGGTTCTTTTCCGTCAGTGAAAAAGTGGCCATGTGAAAGATATGACGAGCCCGGGGAAAGTTCCACGACATAAGACGACGACGACGATCTCCCTCGAGACCTTCAAGCGAAGAGCAGCAATAAACCAGGTTGGTGATACTACATACCGGTGAGTCGAAATTAATATCCTTCCTCGATTCTCCCGTTCTCTCGTGCGAATAGGATCGACGCCGGTGATAAGAACGAATAGCGACCGTAAACCTGCGTTAAAGTAACTTAAAGTAGAATCTCGATATAATATCACGTGAATGTGTTAGATTACTCACTTCTTGCCTGCAATCTTGAGGTCCGGTTACAACTTTACCCTACGCTAAAGCGGAGTCCATCCAAACTTACGTCTGCTGAGACGCAGCCGCCTGAACCGATGGAGATCGAGCGGAGACCGTCCCAACTCACGTCCGTTGGGACGCGGCCGTCTGTACTAGGAGGAGACGTCGAGGAGCGGTTGGAGCAGCCAGCGACGTCGGAAGAACCGGTCGAGGCTGAGGATCCGGAAACACCGGATATACTAGATCTGGAGGACCGCTACCTTGTAGAACCATGGCACCCGACAGAGAGCGAGGTAACGCCCCAGGCGGCGGGCCTGAGACGAGCGTAGTTCTAGAGTTAAGAGTAGGTTAAGTTAGTAATAAGTAGTAGGTTAAGCATAGTTATAAGATAACTGTCGAGGCGACGCATGTACGAGGTCGAGCGACACGAATTGATGAAGTGAAGAGTGACTCGCCAGATCGGTTTCAGGAGAGACCGGCACGGACGCGTGCGTACAAGCGACTCGTGTCGATCTGAGAAGCGAGCGCGTCAAGGAAACGGGCGAAAGTCACGTTCTAGAAAATAGTCACGTGTCGGGGTCGAAAACTAGTAGGCGACGTGGAGAACCGTCGAGTGAAACACATCCTGCGAACAGGAGATGCGAGACGGGTCGGTCAATCGAGTGAAGGGTCGCTGGACGAGCGATGGCCGAAAATAACGGGTAGACGTCACAGAACTATCGAGTAGATACCTGGATGATGGCCGAGAATAAGCGTGACGGGCCGACCTTTCGAGAGAAGGGTCATCGGAAGACGGGAAAGTCGCGCGGATGACATGCGCGAAATTAGAGGAGTCGGACATGTGTCGAGCGAGAGCCGAGACAGGTTTACTTTAGTAGAGACTCGCGGAGCCGGCTATCCGACAGGCAACGGACATTAAAATAGGTAGGCGACTTTGGCGGGACCGTAAGGGGTCGAGAGCCACCACCGGTCGGATTATCGGGTTCGCGAGAGCAATATCTCTTGAAGAGATACGAAAACAACGCCGTATGATCAAGCTAGTCGGCGAGAGTCATTTTAATTTTACGCGAAAGTCAAACGAAAGACAATAGGTGAATACGTACCTGAAGCCACGTTGATTTGCGAACGGCGTTGAGACCTGAGTAATAAGTAAAGAAAGGTGGGGGACTTACCTATTACTTACCTGGTATCCGGAATCCTGAAGCCGTGATCCGGGTTCCTGGGTCATCGTCCTAACAGCAACACCTGTAACAGAAAAGAAGAGAGTATTAGTCAGAGGAAGGGAAGGTCGAAGTGACGTTATCCGCCGATCTTCTATCTCAACGACTGATGAGAAAATATTTTAGTTATTTATAGACTGGCGGGTATGTTTATTTGTCATTACCATGATGCGGAATAGTCATTTATGTTTCATAAAGTTATTGATGTTTTATGCGAACATTGGGCCATACTTACACTTAGACGTTGATACATTTTTAGATATATATATTTGGAATTTATATATTGCTAGATTTTTATATTATAAACAAAACATTGTAAACTTAGTGACATGTAACAGCGTGGGCGGTGAGGATTGCCTTCGTGGTTGTTGTTGTTGCTGGTCGCGCTAGTGATCGTTACCAGACCCGCTATTATTAGCGGGTCGTCCCCTATTGGTCTAGGGGTTAACGGTGGTCTCGCACCGCGAAAGACGTAAGCGTCTCGCGAGGTGAGGTCCCCGATCGCGGATCTTCGATCTGCCTCTTTCGCATCAGTGGAAAAACCCGTCACCCGAAGCGAACGTGATCCCGTGCGACTAAGCAGAAACGACGACGACGACGACAACCTCTCCGAAGACTTAAGATGCCGAGGACGGCAAAATAAATCTGCGCTTGCTGAGCGACAATCTGATGAGTTCTGGTTATTAATACTCCCTCGATTCTCCCGTTCCTTCGTGCGGAAGTGATAGATGCCGGTAGCCTGCAAGACGCCATAGTTTAGAAAGGGTGGCAACCGTTTTATATATTAGAGAAAACATTACAGTATTGCTAAACTTAGTAGAAGAGAAGATAAAATCCCTGATAAAATTAATCACATGCGACGGAAATTGTTAATCTTTTGCCTGTATCTTCCGATATCCGGTTAGAACCTAACCTAACCTAAGCAAACCCAACACAAACCAAACCATTTTTTTGTTAAGGCAGAGGAAATGCTTTACGCACACTCCCGGGAAATACGGGACTTTCCCAGGGGTAGTGTGGGACTCTCCCCTCCGGTGATAACTGTCGGAAGGGGCCTACCCACTAAAACCTCTGCCGGGCCCCTTGCGGCCATCGCGAGGGCGTTTCGGGCACTGCTTGCGCATGACTTCCGGGACGCCCTCGGCCGCTGGGCGGGGAAAAGCCAAACCCAACCAACCACTTCCCGAGCCAGGAGGGGAGATAGTTCCGCCCGGCCCGCCGTTCCAATCCTCTATGACCGGACGTGGGCCTCATTGTCCGGTTACCCCTCTCCAGTTAGGGGCCTTTTGGGCCGGGTCCAGTCCCGTCCGGATCCGGCCCGCCCCTACGCTCCTGACCGAGGGTTATGGGGTGGAGAGGTCTTCCTTCACTTCTCTCTCGGTCAGGAGCCTCCGTTCTCTGGGAGGGGGGTGAGCGGCCTAAAAATTCGCCCGTGCAAGTCGGCCGCCCTACTCACCTCCCGGAGGCGCCTGGTCTGACTCCTTGTCACGAGGGGGGGGTAAGTCGCGCCTTACGATGCGTCTTCCCCGCCCGACCAGGCGCCTCTTATCTCCCCCCCCCCGCCGGGCTAATTCCCGGTGGCACTGGGGGAGCGGCGCACCCGCATGTACCCCGGGGGAGGGAACGCCAGCAGTGACGTCCCCTTCCCTCCCACGAGTGCGCCGCCCTCCTTCTGCAGCGCCTCACCCCGTACCGCGGGGCCGCTTCGTCCCTGCGGAACCTCTCAGCTTTCTCCTTCTGCGACACCACGATGTCGCAGAAGGAGGAAACGGCGGACCAGTCCTCGTCTCCTCCGAGCATGGCCCTGATAAGGGCCGGGGGAGAGAGGTCCGCTCCCACCACTCCGACTAGGACTCGGCGCTCTGCCACTTTCGAGGGACACTCCTCGAGGGTATGCTGCGCCGAGTCCACCTCAGCACCATAGTGGTGGCAGCGGGAGTTAAGCTCCCTATCAATCCTGTACAAGTACTCACCGAAACCGTGTCCGGTGAGTACCTGCGTTGTCCGGAAAGACAGCTCTCCGCGGGCCCTGTCCACCCATTTCTGTAAACAGGGCCGGATGGCCTCGGCGACCCTCGTTTCCGACCGGCCCGTCGCTTCCCCCCAGGTGAAGGCTCCACCTGAGGAGGAGGCGTTGACGGGCCTGGTCATTTGCCATACCTATGCCCCTGGCCAGATCTTCGTGGTCCTCCCCGCTCCGGAGCTCCCTGACACGCCGATAGTTCTTGGCGTGCATCTGTGCAAGGAGCCCCAGGGGGAAGGAGACCGTTCAGGGCCGTGGCGGCCGTATGCGACGCCGTCCGGTTGGCCCGGGCGAGACGGATGGCGATCCACCGCTGTGCACGGTGTCCCAGCGCTAAGATGCGCTGGTTGGTCGCCATCGCACTCGTTCAGACCGGGGCCCCGTACAGGATCATGGAATGGACGACGCCAGCATACAGCCGCCGTGCTTTTCTTTTTGGGCCGCTGAAGTTGGGCAGGAGGCACCCAACATATTGGCCACCCTGTCCAACTTGGGGGCCAGAAGCTCAAAGTGTTTCTGGAACCCCATGTACCATCCAAGAGGAGTCCCAGATACTTTATTGTGGGACCCATCTTCACGGAGATATCATCGGTTCGCACTCGGGCCCTAGGCGGCTCCCCCCTGGACCCATCATGTATGAACATGAGTTCCGATTTGAAGGAAGCCACCTTGAGGCCCATTCTACTCAGGGAGCTTACCACCTGGTCCACCGCCAGACGTCCCATCTCCAGGGAGTTCCGCCAGCCCCTGCTTCCGGCCAGCACCATAGTGTCGTCCGCGTAGCATACGGGGCGTTAGGAAGAGGAGAGTGTCGTGAGCGTGGAGCGTCTGGTAGCTCAGTGGTTTAGAGCAGTCGCCCGGCAAGCGAAAGACCCGGGTTCGAGTCCCGGCCTAGGAGGACCGCGCTCTCGATATTTTTCTCTTTCTGGAACGAAAAAGATACGCAGATCTCGAACGTACGGCGTCCCGTCGCCACCTAGTATGCCCTCCTTCTTCTATGGAAGCCGGGGCTGTGCAGCCGGGAGGGCGGAGGACTTGGTCGTACGCGATGCTCCATAATAGGGGTCCTAGCACGGACTCCTGCGGAACACCGCGGTACACCGCCCTTCCGCACTGGAGTTCCGCATTATTGCGGAACTCCAGTCTTTTATCCCGAAAGTAGTCCCTAATTATTGAGACCAGGTGAGGGGCGACCCTAAAATGGGCCAAGCCCGCCTCCACCTGGTCCCAGAGGAGGGAGTTGAAGGCGTTGGCGATGTCAAGGGACACCGCCAACACAACTCCCCTCCCTCACGACGGCCTCTGAGAGGGACCAGACGCGCAGAATCACGTCCACGCTTGACCGTCCCTCCCGGAAGCCGTATTGCTCCTCGTTGAGCGTGGGACTATCCCGGGGTAGGTGCCGGACGAGGCGGGCGTGTATTATTCTCTCGAACAATTTGCCCGCCTCGTCCAACAGGCATATCGGTCTATATGCGAAAGGGCTGTCCTCCGCCTTACCCCCCTTCCTGAAGAGGACCAAATTGGCCCTCTTCCAGGGGCAGAGGAACACCCCAGTTCTCAAACAGGAGAACCATATAATGCGACTTTTCACCCCTTCTTTTTTCAACGCCAAGGCCCTTTTCTTAGCGCCGAGCTTCCTGACGGCTTTGTCCATTTCCACCTTCGTGATACCGACCTCCTTCCTCTCCGTCTGTAGGGGGACCCTCGTAGGGGGGAATGCAAACTTCCCCCATGGAAAGAGGGCCCTTACTACCTCATCAAGGATGCCGGGATCCAAGGACATTGTCGGCGGGGGCGCCCAAGAACGAAAGCGTCTCATCATAATGTGATATGGGCGCCCCCACGGGTCCCTATTGATGGTGGAGACCAGGTCATCCCAGGTCCGGGCCTTGGCCGCAGCGATGGCCGCCTTGAGAGCCTCCCGCTTTTCGCGGTAAGCCTCCTCGGCGACCAGCCTGCCTTCGTCGTCTTTCCCCTGCTGGCCCACTATCCTCCTGGCTTGGCAGGCGGAGCGCCGAGGTTCGGCAATCTCTACCTACCACCAATATACGGACCGGCGGGGATGTGGCCGGGATCGGGACATAGCGGCATCGCACGCCGCCGCCATCATGCTCTGGATCCCGGCCACCTCGTCCTTAATGGCGGGCCGGGTCCCTGGTGCGGGATCCGGCTCCGCCCATGTGGCCGCTAGTAGAGTGGCCACCAATTTGTCGCGGTCAAGTTTCGCGAGGGTCCATCTGCGCGGTCGGGCGCCCCTCAGACTGCGCCTCTGGAGCATCTCCTCAGGAGTGGCGACCAGCTGGACCATAATATATCTATGATCCGAAAGGTTTGTCCCGCTGGTCACCCTCTAATCCTGTATTAGTCGGGCCGCCTGGGAAGACGCCAAGGTGATATCTACCACCGACCTTCCCTGCGGCACGACAAAGGTGCTCCTTCGGCCTTTGTTGACGACACAGATGCCGTGAGACATGACCCATTCCTGCATCACCTCGCCCCTTCGGCATCTGACCGAGGACCCCCATAACGCCGATTTGGCTTTGAGGTCCCCGGCCACAAGGACCGGCTTTTGGGGGCGCCTCGTTGTGAGGTCCCCCAGCTGGTCCAGAAGATGCTCGAAGCGAGCGAGGTCCCACGAGGGCGGGGCGCATACCCCGACCACGTATAGGGCTCTCACTCGACCGCGACATACCCCTACCCCCTTTATATTACAGAGAAGGGGGGACAGGCCTTGTCACCTCTCCATTGGATCGCGACCAAGCACCCACGCCGCCCCGCAACGTCACCCACTATACTGGGATGACTCCCAGCGACGGAGTAGAGTTCGGCCGCGATCCCCAATCCCGAACCGCTCTCGCAGAGGGCCTTTGTGAAAAGGTCTTGCGCTCCGCGAGAGCGATTCAGGTTCGCCTGGTGGAAGCGGGTAGCCATTACGGCTTACCGCTCTCCTCCAGGCCCTCCCCTACCTTTTTCGCGGGAGTGGGATCCTCATTAAAGCATCCCTTCTCCTGCAAAGCGATCCTCTTCCCGGCCCCGGTCTTTTGCGGGACCATTTGCTCCTTAGGAGCAGGGCCCGCTAGAGAGACCGGGGTTTCGGGCAGTGGAGCCTCTCCTTCCGGTTTCCGAGGGGGAGGCTCCTTTTCTTTCCCGGAGGGAGGGGTGGGAGGAGTGTTGGAGGCTTTACGCCTCCTCCTCCCTCCCCCTTTCTCCCTTTGGCCTGCTTCGCCATTTGGCATGCGGGGCCTCCCACTCTGTGGCCACAGAGCCGACCAGCGTCGCGACACACCGGACATGTTGTCGGTGCGTCGCACGTGGCGGGCGGCCTTGTGGCTGGCCGATCCGCAATGGTAACACAGACCACTGCGGTCGGCCTTGTTCTTACAGCAGGCCCTAACGTGGCCCCACTCCAGGCATTTGAATCACTGGAGGGAGCGTTTCGTTAGAGCCTCCACGCGGACGGAGGACCATCCCACTCGAATGCGTCATCCGTCCGCGATCTTTCTAGCGGCTGCAAGGGGACACCTCAGCCAGTGTCCCCATGCAGTCCGTGCCAGGGCAGATTTCCCCGGCCTTTATCTCTCCGAGCCCGTAGCCCCCGACGGCAGCCACCGCGGAGACTGCGTCCCCCACGGCGACCGACTCGTCGAGGTCGCAGACCCGGATATCTGGCCCTCTTCACCGGACGCGCAATGCGCACGTCCTCTCTACCGGCGAAGAGGGCCGCCATTTTCCCGGCCAGGGCATCCGCCCTGGCGTGTCCCTCGGTACCGGGGATCTCGAGGACCAGGGCGCCTGTTACGGTCCTCCTGGTCCTGATCTCCCCGATCTCTAGATCCCCAAGATTGATTTCTCCCCTTGCCCACCGCATCACTTCGGCGTAGCTGCCCGCAGAGCAGATTACTGTTGAAGCGGCGGCGCGATGGGCTTTGTGAAAGGCGAATTTACCGCCCCCCCCCCGTGTTTGGGGGCCCTTTCTTTCCATTCTCCCACCTCCCATGGCCGCGGCACGTTGTTGGGGCCGCGGCTCCTGGGGACGGGTTGGGAGGCCTTCTGGTTCCTCTTTCTTCCTTTCCTCTGCTTTTCTCTTCATCCGACCATACGGGCCCAGGATTCGGACCCGGTGCCGGGAGGGCAGCCGGTGCGGGCGAACCGACTTCACCGCGGGAGCTGTCGGGTTCCTAATGCCTGCATGACAACCGGCCTCCCGGGTGGGCAGCTACGTCCGGGAGTAGTAAGATCCTTGGTGAATACTTCACCGGGGATCCACAGCGGTGGCAGGGCGGGCTCCTCAGGTTCCGTTGAACCAAACCATCCTAGGGGGCGGCCCGAAAAGCTGCCCGGGTTGGGGGGCCGACGTTAAGCCCCCTATTAAAAACATGATGGAAAGGAAAATAGGAGCGACTTGCGGTGAGTCGGTTGCGTCGCGCCGGCATGGGGGGTTACGGTCCCAGGCCCCCCTTTGTCGTCAGCGGGCGATGGACCGAGTGAGGGCGGCAGGGCCGGCGCGTCAACGGCGGGCGCGTCGGTCTCTCTGGCTACCGCCGCGGGGCGGGGGATACAGGGGGGACGGACAGGGAGTTCGAAAGGGGGAACAAAGAAGAGGAAACTGGAAAAGGACGAGGGAGGGATGGAAAAAGGAATGGAAGATGGAGAGGAATCTGGATAGCCTGACCCTAAGAATGGAAACAAGACCCGGAAGTTTGCACTCAATCGCCTTGAGTGGACTGAAGAATGTGTGGAATGCATTGAGGAAGTCGTAAACAAGAGCAAAAGAATGAGCAAGAGGGAGAAAGAGGATATTAGAAAAAGTAAGAATTGCATTATAAGGTACTTCCAAGATACGATCAAGGCTTTAGGAAAAAGAATGGAGAACATGGAAGAATACATAATGGAAAAGGATAAGATGCTGGAAGAGAAAGGAAAAGGCGAAAGGAAATAGGAAGAAACGCTAAAGGAATGTGAAGAAGAGAGGAAAGAAATAGAGGAGTTATATGAGAGGGAAAGGGAAAAATGGTGGAAGGAAAGGGAGCGGCTCAAGGAAAAGATAGAAATGATGGAGTGGCGAGCTGCTGCCCTCAGGGTTGACCGTAGCACGTCCACGGTCCACACGGAGAGAAGAGATCGGGCAGTATCTCCGTTCCCGGAGGTGCGGCCCGAGACGAGGGATCGAGCGACATCCCCTCTGCGGGGCGTAGTAGCCGGGCGGCCGGAATGGCGTCGGCTGCCGCAGGATCGGTTGCGCCCTCCCTGCCTGCCGCGGCTCACACGAAATATCGGGGTTGGGCCGTGGCGGGCGGGGGGAGGTGCGAGGAGAAAGGGGAAGGGCCCCATGCGAGTGGTGAAGAGGTGCCCGCTTCGGGGCGTTCGGTGGCTCCTAGAGGGGCGCCGCCGGCGCTGCCGACAACGGCGGCGCTATCGGTCCGCCTTGAGTCGGGGGACCTCTCATATGCGGAGGCCCTACGCAAGGCGAGGGCCGACATTGCCCCGAGTGCGGGTGGGGTCCGGCCCGCTTTCGTCAAGAGGACCGCGAACGGCGGTTTCCTGTTTGGGTTGGCCGGGCCCGGGAAGGAGGGGGAGGCGGACGCTCTGGCTAGTAAGTTTAGGGCGTCGCTCCCGGAGGCCGTGGTGACACGGCCCTCAAGAATAGAAAAGGTCCGACTCGTCGGTTTTGACGAGTCGGTCCTCCCCGACGAGGTAGTGGAGGTCCTTGCTGCGCGGGCAGGATGTGGGTCGGGCGAGGTTCGCCTTGGTCCCATCCGATGGGGCTGGCGGGGCGAGGGGGCAATTTGGGCCAGACTCCCCCTCGCCGCGGCTGCCAGGATGGCGGCCGAAGGGAGGGTGGCACTGGAGTAGGCGGGGGCGCGGGTAGTGATGCCCGCTCCCCGCCCCGTCCAGTGTCTCCGGTGTTGGAGGCTTGACCACATCCGGGCGGCTTGCTCCGCGTCAACTGACTGGAGTGGGCTCTGCTATCGGTGTGGCCGGGCCGGGCACATCGCGCGGGCCTGCGCGGTGTGCCTAGAGGATGGATGGGACTCGGGCCACCGGGTTCGTGGTCCCGAGTGCCCGATGGGGAGTGGTGCTCCTGCGAGCGGGAGGCCACCGGGGCATCGTAGGGTTCGACCGCCGAACGCGGCGGACTCAGGCCCCTCTAATGGAGGCAGGTCGGCGGATCCCGGAAATCTGTCCCGGGATCCGTTCGGCGGAAAAAGCCCAGGTCTGATCACCTAGACCGGGGCCACGGCACCAGCGGAACATCTTGGCCGGCGCCGGGGGCAAACCGAGGCCGGGGGTGGGACACCCCCTGGCGGGACTCTGCGGAAATTCTCGTCTTGAGGCGGCTCGCCCCTGGGGTGAATTATACGCCCTTTTGTCCCGGTCCCCCCTCTCCCCAACGGGTCGCTTTGGGAGGATGTGTGGGAGCGCACCCTCCTATCACAGCGGCCCGGGAGAGAGGCAGCGCGGTGTTGGATCGCACCGCGCCGCTGCTAGGAGGAATCGCGAGCGGGAGTAATCTTATTGCCCCCGCTCCGGGAGGTGTCCTAGGGACTGCGGAGGGGGTCCGCGGAAGTAATACGCAAGTGGTCCCCGCGGGCCCTCTGACAACCGTTGAGGACGGACCCGCCAGGGGGTTTAGTGGGTAGGGCCCCTATCAAACTTCTTCGGCGGGGGCGGAGTCCCACATAACCTGCCGTCTCTCCCCCCCCGGAGGCCGCAGGTATGCGCAAAAACATTTCTTTTGACTTTAAAAAAAAAGGAAAAGACCCGGTGCCGGGAGGGGAGGTATTGGGCCCGCCCGATGGCCGCGTGATCGCGGTCCTACCCGGGGGGAGACCCACCTCTCCCACAAGAGCGGCAGGGGGCGGACGTCTCTATAGGAGACTGCTTACCACCCCCACCGCTCTTCCTTTTCTTTCCTTTCGGCTTCTTTCGCCCCCCGTCGTCAGGGGCGGAAGTCGCCGAAGTTTGGGCCGATGGGAAGGGCTGAGGGCGCTTTGCGCGTTCCAGCCCCCACCTCCGTCTCACCATTGCTCTGTCGTGGAGGGTATTCCAGGGAGTTGAGCCCTCAAGGCCTCCACGATGCGAGGACTAGGGCCGCTACTAAGGCTTCTAGTTCCCCGCTGTTCTATTCGATCCCGCCGGGAGCCCGGTTCTTGCTGGATGAGGGTTCCACTCCTTCTCTCGTAGCTTCCGGACGGGCGTGCCTCTCTTTACTTGCCCGTGTCGGCGGGGGCGTCCCACCGCCCGCCGTGGCCGTCGTGGCAGTGGCCCTCCCTTCTTTTTTAGGGTTATTTCGGGCGCGGCCATCGCGTGCCCGAAGGGAAACAGGCGTTTCCAGGGGGAAGTGTCCCCCCGGTAATATCCCCTGCGACCTCAGCCTGGCATCGCCTCCCCTCCTCCTCCTTCTTCGCGGTTGGAAGGACGGGAATGACTCCCAGCCTCCCCCGCGCTCCCCTCAACCTCCATCTCTTCATCAGTGGAGGAGGGGAGACGGCGGACAGTTCTCTTCCGCCTGGGAATATGGAGGGGGGGAGAGTCACTCTCCTCGCAGCCGGTCCTTTTCCGCTTATTTTCGGCGGAGGAGTCCCAGCTACACCCGCTTCTTAGCACCGGCATGACGGGGCCAGTTGGGCAGGCCCTGTCAATCTCCATAGGGGCGTGGTCTCTCCCTGAGGCTTGCTGGGAGGGCCGGGTTTACGGGCCCTCGCCCGTTCGCTCTTAAGGCGGTCCATCTCGAGACGGAGCAATGGGCCCTCAGCCCTCAGGCGCTCCTGCTCGGCCGCGTCAGCCGCTGCCTCTTTTCTTGCTGCCTCGCCCGTGCCTGTTGCATCGACGCTGTTCGCTCTCTGGACCAGGACGAGGCTGCATGCGCTCACTTTGGCCGCAGCACTCCAAAGGGCCCTTCTGTATACGCCCTTAAGATTGGGCCTGCACCGCTCCGCGACCTTTTGTATCTCACCCAAGGCCCTTAATGCGATGGACGAGACTTCGGCCGTTTGATACGACCGAAGACCACTGAGGATCCCGCTCTGCTCCTTTTCAACTTGGAAGGTCCTTTGAGACGACGGCCTAACAGAGAGATCTCTGATCTCCTCCGCCAGCGCCTCGTCACCCTCCTCCTCCCACAGACTCTGGCTTTGGGCGGCTACCTAGCTGATCCCCCTTTTGGGGATCGTACTTGACCGCTCGCCTCCGGCCCTTCCCGTAAGCCGGCGCGTAGGGGACGAGGACAACAACCTGGTCCGGCCGCCGCCAGCTCCCCCCTACCCGGCCCGCCTTCGACGTCTTTAAGACAGACGGCTCATCGCCAAACGGAAGGAGGAGGGGAGGACAGATCTTCCCCCATTGTTCCCGCCGAAGCTACACCCGCGTGAGGCCGACCGTGTGCGGCGCTCCATGGTACAGCGGTGATCCGGTTTATCCGGACCAGCACCCACCGTGCGCGGAGTCGCCGTATCCTCCCAAGAGTTGCTAGTGTTCGGCGCACCCTCCCCCTGCCTGTCCACCTCTGAAGCTGCAGTGGTCGTAGCCACAGGTATACCTATGGACCCCGAGATCGCCGGCATCGTGGTGGTCTCTTCCTCCCGAACTACAACAATAACATTATCTTCCATTGGTAGTTTTATCCCACCAATCTTGACGGCTCGGCTTTCCGGCATATCTCCCATCTCTCCCCACCCAAGGGGAGGGAGGATGACCGGCGTACTCGCCGGGAAAGAACCTATGTCACTGGTCCCCGGGGACACTGGACTCCACACCCCTACTCACGTCCCAGTCCACAAGGGACTGAACCGCTTTCAGGAGTCCCACACCTCCGACAATGCGGGCACCGTCAAGGCCGCCGCCGCCACGTGAGGGGCCCCACGAACGGACAACGATAAGAGGGTGTTGCGATCCACCCATGTCGCGTACCGCCGCGGGCGGCAGCTGCTGCTCCGCCCGGGGCCGCGACTTTACCATGTCGCAATCGCCGCCGCCCAGGCTCTCCGCTGTAAGGGCTCGCCCGACCGGCCGTCTGATGGGCGATCCGGCCGCGCCGACCCCTGATACTTTCTCGGCGCAGCGGCCAGCCGAGAGAGAAAACCGCTTGCC